CTCAAGGCAGACTTCACACATTCGCAACAGCCAACCACATGGAATAAATAAATGAATAAAATAACAGTAAATAAAAAAAATAACATCAATAAAAATAGGTTAAAATCATCTCATTCAAAATGAAGTTATATAATTTGGTTTTTAATTTTGTAGTGATTTTCGATGCGTACCTGAGATGTGGCACAAGGCCGAAATTGGGGGGATTCCTGTGAGGATCGAACTCACTACTCAGTCGTAATTGTTTTAGCGAGCCAATCTTGTTAACCATTACACCGCCTCGAGGTTTTCTTTATATATTGTCATCGGTTTTCTTTCTGATTTTGGAGGATAAATATAAAAATGAAAAAAAAAAAAAGTATTATTTTGAAAAATCTAATTACGATGCTAATATCTAAAATGAATTTATAATTTAAAAAAATTCCAATATACAAAAATAAATTTCATTTTATTCTCAGTAACTAAATAAAACTGCTTGTTATTACGACGAAAAGCAGAAACTCCTTGTATTGCCTTGATAAATCTATTCAGAACTAATCCTAAATGTTTAACTTGTCAATTGCTAAATATTAAGTAAACCATTTTTGAGTTGTGTTCGACACCCTTAAGTTTCTTTTTATCTACTAATGTTAATCAAACACAAAACTAAAGAGTTACTTAAGTTAAAGGGTTGCTGTGTGGCGTTGTATGGACGTAAGAAAGGGTCAAAAATGAATCTCATGGGGCTATGCAAAAAAATAAAAAATAAATAAAGTTTAATCCCCAATTTGAAGAGATCAAGATTGTATTGATTGGAAAAAACAACCTGCCTGGAGTCTGTTCCACAAAGCAACATTTCTTGGGAACAAGCTGCTCGAGTGGAACTTCTTATCAAAGTAATAGGAATGGAATGAGGAATGATTCACTCTTTCGTATGTGGCATGGCGGGTCTCAGTTGTAAATGTCAATGGTGGTAGGTCTCATGAATATATCACATGCCGTGGAAGTAGCGACAGAATAGTGACGGAATGAGAACATTTCGTCTGTGGGAAAGTGGTTGTTGGGTGGAAAAATAATTAATGACTCACAAAGACCGCGTTGAATCTTTAGAACTTTATCAAGACAGGCAAGTGAGGACTGGACAGCTTCAGCCGAGAGACGACAACAATACTTCATTTGAGGTCGGATCTGGCTCTTGCAAAGATAGAGGATAGCAGGGGGGAGTCAGATACTTACTGGATCGGTAGAAAGAATCGAGTATTTTTCCAGCATCACCAGAGGGTTAACAACAGGATTTCATGGAGAGAGAATATGACGATTGATGTTGAATTCATTTCTTTCAAGATCATAATCAATAGTAAAGCAAGAAGCCAGAAGAGATTTTCATAGGCGAGACGTGCAGAAAAATATTCTATTAACATAGTGTGAAATTGTGAAATCTAACTGCCAATCGAGTATTTTTTCACCCCAAGCAAGGCAATAATGCCACTAAGACGCAAGGAGCTACTGGAAGTGAAATAGAATGAAAAGTCTTTAGAAGGAACCGAAAAATGAATCCTAAACGGGAAACAAGGAATACACCGCTACTCCTGTTCAAAAGACTGGAGAGGAGTGTGAACCGGGCAGTAGGTAAACCTATCTACTCCTATTGAGAAAAAAAATAAATAGTAAATAAAATTTACGTGGAGACGTTAGAAGTATAGAATTGAATTAGACATTAGAAGAGGCCAAAAGCCCAATAACACTTAAATTCGAAACGCCGTTGTACTAAAATGGAAAATATCATTAGAAGAGTTATCGTGAAAATATTTATAGAAAAGGCAAAAGGAAGCTATCTTACGGCGGTATAATTCAGCACTTGCGTGAACTTTAAGGTGTTCAAAATCTAATTAAATCGTCTTCTGTAATATTTGTTCACTCTGCCTAGCGAAGTATTTGAAAGTTAATTTTTAGCGTACTCTTCTCTTGGCCATAAGTGCTGATCGATATTTAAATAATAGAGTCATTTTAAATAGTACAATGCTAATCTATTTATCAACCCTGGAGAACGAAATACTTTGTTTGTTTTTTTTAATCATTTTCCTCCATTAAGGTGATAATGCCACTAAGACGCAAGGGAATACTGAAAGTGAAAGAGAATGAGAAGACTTTCCTGAGGAGAAAGGACAATAAAAGAATCGGCTTCAGAAAGACAGAAGATTTGAGAGAGTTCTTAATTGCCGGAAAAGAAACGTTAAGAATAGAACTTACAGCTGCAACTATTTCAACAGTAACATGATGAAATTTAGTTGTCAATCTAGTAGTATTTTTAACTTTATGCAATTGAGGTACCAAGGAAGAGGAGAGTAAATTAGAAAAAAAAAACTACCATGAAAACATTTATAGAAAAGACAGAGAGAAGATACAACATGGCAGTGAGGAAATGAATGAAATTGAGATAATAAATCAAGACCAATAACATTACAAACCCATCTTTGGGATTTTGTCGAGAATGTCAAGATAAGATGGAGTACCAGTCCAGACATGGCAGCAATATTCAATACATATATGAATAATAGATTTAGACATATACAAGATGCGTGTGCTGGCTTGAGTAAACCATATATTTCAATTTATCCCAGGAACATTACTTACTTGGCAACATACGCTTATTATATTGTCAAATAATGTTCCCCGCGGCATGAATATTTAGTACTCTTTTATCAAAATTATACCTTTAGTTGATAAGCTGAAAAATTCCCACCGGTATAATAATTCCAGCTGGTATCTGTATTTGACCAAAGAAGTATCTATCTATCTATCTATCTATCTATCTATCTATCGATCTATCTATCTAAGACTGTTCAATATCTATCTGCCATAGTCTGTTCAATATCTATCTATCTATCTATCTATCTATCTATCTATCTATCTATCTAGTTGATAAGCTGAAAAATTCCCACGGGTATAATAATACCATGTGGTACCTGTATTTTGTACAAATAGTATCTATCTATCTATCTATCTATCTATCTATCTATCTATCTATCTAAGACTGTTCAATATCTATCTGCCATAGTCTGTTCAATATCTATCTATCTATCTATCTATCTATCTATCTATCTATCTATCTATCTATCTAGTTGATAAGCTGAAAAATTCCCACGGGTATAATAATACCATGTGGTACCTGTATTTTGTACAAATAGTATCTATCTATCTATCTATCTATCTATCTATCTATCTATCTATCTATCTGATAAGCTGAAAAATTCCCACCGGTATAATAATACCATGTGGTACCTGTAGTTTGTACAAAATTGTATGTATGTATCTATCTAAGACTGTTCAATATCTATCTGCCATAGTGTGTTCAATACCTATCTATCTATCTATCTATCTATCTATCTATCTATCTATCTATCTATCTAGTTGATAAGCTAAAAAATTTTCACGGGTATAATAATACCATGTGGTACTTGTATTTTGTACAAAGAGTATCTATCTATCTATCTATCTATCTATCTATCTATCTATCTATCTATCTAGTTGATAAGCTGAAAAATTCCCACCGGTATAATAATACCATGTGGTACTTGTATTTTGTACAAAGAGTATCTATCTATCTATCTATCTATCTATCTATCTATCTATCTATCTATCTATCTATCTATCTATCTATCTAGTTGATAAGCTGAAAAATTCCCACCGGTATAATAATACCATGTGGCACCTGTATTTTTTACAAATAGTATCTATCTATCTATCTATCTATCTATCTATCTATCTATCTAGTTGATAAGCTGAAAAATTCCCACCGGTATAATAATACCATGTGGTACTTGTATTTTGTACAAAGAGTATCTATCTATCTATCTATCTATCTATCTATCTATCTATCTAGTTGATAAGCTGAAAAATTCCCACCGGTATAATAATACCATGTGGCACCTGTATTTTTTACAAATAGTATCTATCTATCTATCTATCTATCTATCTATCTATCTATCTATCTATCTATCTATCTAGTTGATAAGCTGAAAAATTCCCACCGGTATAATAATACCATGTGGCACCTGTATTTTTTTACAAATAGTATCTATCTATCTATCTATCTATCTATCTATCTATCTATCTATCTATCTATCTATCTAGTTGATAAGCTGAAAAATTCCCACCGGTATAATAATACCATGTTGTACCTGTAGTTTGTATAAAAGAGTATGTATGTATGTATGTATGTATGTATGTATGTATCTATCTATCTATCTATCTATCTATCTATCTATCTATCTATCTATCTAAGACTGTTCAATATCTATCTGCCATAATGTGTTCAATACCTATCTATCTATCTATCTATCTATCTATCTATCTATCTATCTATCTATCTATCTATCTATCTATCTAAGACTATTCAATATCTATCTGCCATAGTGTGTTCAATATCTATCTATCTATCTATCTATCTATCTATCTATCTATCTATCTATCTAGTTGATAAGCTGAAAAATTCCCACCGGTATAATAATACCATGTGGTACCTGTAGTTTGTACAAAAGAGTACGTATGTATGTATGTATGTATGTATGTATGTATGTATGTATCTATCTATCTATCTATCTATCTATCTATCTATCTATCTATCTATCTAAGACTGTTCAATATCTATCTGCCATAGTGTGTTCAAAATCTATCTATCTATCAATCTATCTATCTATCTAAGACTGTTCAACATCTATCTGCCATAGTGTATTCAATACCTATCTATCTATCTATCTATCTATCTATCTATCTATCTATCTATCTATCTATCTATCTATCTATCTAGTTGATAAGCTAAAAAATTCCCACGGTTATAATAATACCATGTGGTACTTGTATTTTGTACAAAAGAGTATCTATCTATCTATCTATCTATCTATCTATCTATCTATCTATCTAGTTGATAAGCTGAAAAATTCCCACCGGTATAATAATACCATGTTGTACCTGTAGTTTGTGCAAAAGAGTATGTATGTATGTATGTATGTATGTATGTATGTATGTATCTATCTATCTATCTATCTATCTATCTATCTATCTATCTATCTAAGACTGTTCAATATCTATCTGCCATAGTGTGTTCAATATCTATCTATCTATCTATCTATCTATCTATCTATCTATCTATCTATCTATCTATCTATCTAGCTGATAAGCTGAAAAATTCCCACCGGTATAATAATACCATGTGGTACCTGTAGTTTGTACAAAAGAGTATGTATGTTTGTATGTATGCATCTATCTATCTATCTATCTATCTATCTATCTATCTATCTAGTCTGTTCAATATATATCTTACTTGCTAGCTATCAAGTTGGAGGTAGATTTAAAATTAAAAAAAATAAATAGATTGTCCAATGCACTTACAGAAGGCATTGAAGCCTTTTCCATTTGGAATCTGAGCTTAAAATATTTTTCCCTTCCTCTGCACCCAGCACATTTGTCTTCTTTTAAAATCTGAAATACCTACGCAATAAATATGTGTTTCTTTCTATTTCTTTCCCTATTCAACTCTCGTAATTTTGCCTATTTTTCATTCTTTGTTTCTTTCCAGGCTTCAGTCGACGGATGACAAAAATGGCGATAAATCGTGACATGCTAATTTTACTCTAGAACTTCCTAATAACGAAAGAAACATTTATAACTCATGCGCAAAACTTCTGCTCACATTTTTAGACGGTTGGTTCTAAAACTAAAACGCATTTCGAAGAAAATGAAAACATGCATTGCCATATTTGGTGGCAATTAATAAACTTCAGTTTTTATAATATTTATTTCAGATAACCACTCAAGTAAATAACTTATGCATCTGGAAGCAACATTTTTCTCTGCAATCGAAAATCCCTATGACATGCAAATGAGAAAGCACATTGTTATTTTTCCTTTTAATTTAAAAGAAAATGGATGTTGGCTACAATTTCTTGTTTGTTACCATGGAATTCGCTGTCATCAGTGTGGGAGGTGTTTTAGCCTCATTCTGAATTTAAAGTTGGAACAAATGAGGATGGAGTGCTCTGTCTTTCTTTCTTTTTTTCTTCTTTCTTTCCGCCCGTTCTTTCTTTCTTTCTTTCTTTCTTTCTTTCTTTCTTTCTTTCTTTCTTTCTTTCTTTCTTTCTTTCCGCCCGCTCTTTCTTTCTTTCTTTCTTTCTTTCTTTCTTTCTTTCTTTCTTTCTTTCTTTCCGCCCGCTCTTTCTTTCTTTCCGCCCGCTCTTTCTTTCTTTCTTTCTTTCTTTCTTTCTTTCTTTCTTTCTTTCTTTCTTTCTTTCTTTCTTTCTTTCTTTCTTTCCGCCCGCTCTTTCTTTCTTTCTTTCTTTCATTCTTTCTTTCTTTCTTTCTTTCTTTTATGCTAATCTATCAATTTATCCTTTATTACATAATTTCGTAATATCTTTCATGTTCACAACTTTCTTTCTTTCTTTTTTCTTTCTTCCCTTATTTTGTTTTTTCTTTTTTTTATGCTATTTTAACAATTAATGCTTCATCACATAATTTCCTAATATTTTTCTTGTTCACAACTTTTTCTTTTTTTTTTCAGTTTTTAATCTTTATTATATTTCTTCGTTTCCGTTATTTTTTGTTTACCATTTTTTCGAATTCTTCTTTTTCTTCTCTTTCGTTGTTTCTTTCATCAATGTTTAATGTTTCCATTCTTTTTGTTATTGTTGTTTTTGTACACTTTCTATTCTTCCCAACAACGTTCTCTCTTTCTTTAAAATTTACCATTTTGCTTTCTATTTTTATATTTCTTTTTTACAGTTATGAATTCTTTCTTTCTTTCTTTTGCTTTTAATACAGTTTTTCTTGTTTCTTCCAACCTTCTTCTTTCTTTCTTTCTTTCTTTCTTTCTTTCTTTCTTTCTTTCTTTCCGCCCTTTCTTTCTTTCTTTCCGCCCTTCCTTCCTTTCTTTCTTTCTTTCCGCCCTTCCTTCCTTTCTTTCTTTCTTTTTTCTTTCCGCCCTTTCTTTCTTTCTTTCTTTCTTTCTTTCTTTCCGCCCTTCCTTCCTTCCTTTCTTTCTTTCTTTTTTTCTTTCTTTCTTTCTTTCTTTCTTTCTTTCCACCCTTTCTTTCTTTCTTTCGCCCTTCCTTCCTTCCTTTCTTTCTTTCTTTCTTTCTTTCTTTCTTTCTTTCTTTCTTTCTTTCTTTCTTTCCGCCCTTTCTTTCCGCCCTTTCTTTCTTTCTTTCTTTCCGCCCTTCCTTCCTTTCTTTCTTTCTTTCTTTCTTTCCGCCCGCTTTTCTTTCTTTCTTTCTTTCTTTCTTTCTTTCTTTCTTTCTTTCTTTCTTTCTTTCTTTCTTTCTTTCTTTCTTTCTTTCTTTCTTTCCGCCCTTTCTTTCTTTCTTTCTTTCTTTCTTTCTTTCTTTCTTTCGCCCTTCTTTTCTTTCTTTCTTTCTTTCTTTCTTTCTTTCTTTCTTTCTTTCTTTCTTTCTTTCTTTCTTTCTTTTCCCTTCCGTTTTTTTTTGTAATTTTTACGGTTTGTGTTTCTTTTTTCCCGTTATTTTCTTCCCTTCATCCTTTGTTTAATTTTTGCCATATTTTTTCAATCTGCTTTGATTGATTGATTCAGTCATTCATCATTTCTTTCATTTTGCTTTATTTAATTTTGTTTCATTCATCATTCTTCCTTTTTTCTTTGTGTTATTTTTATTTTTGTTGGACTCTTTCTGCCATTTTTCTTTCATTTATTCTTTCTTTCAATATTGACATCATTTTTATTTGCTTGTTGTCTCTTTCTTTCTTTCTTTCTTTCTTTCTTTCTTTCTTTCTTTCTTTCTTTCTTTTCACGTTCTCCGTTTACATCAATCCGCCCCAGGCTCATGTTACCACGGAAATCTCATTTCCGCCTCGAATCAACATTACTTAAAAAGCAAAAAAAAAAAAAAAAAAAAAAAGCCTAAAAAAAAAAAAAAAGAAAAAGAAGAACAATATATATTTTCTTCTCTAACACTGGTGAGGCGTGTCTATCGATTGAATTGCGCTGTTCCATTCCTGTGACCCTTCACGACTTTAAGTGAATTTTTACAAATGTATTTACCTGAAGGTCGACCAGCATCTTTTATTTGCCTACAAATAATATAGAATTCGTTACTTCATATTCACTTTATAAATGCAACATGGCGGCAGGGTAGACATATTAAATTTAGTCAGAAAAACAAGAGACATCTTTCTCTTTCGAAGAATTCCATGTAAAAGCCACCGATGCATTTAACTCGATCAAGACCGGCACAGGTGAACATCGAACATAGAATGGATGATTTGGACGAGTACGCAGCAGATATGATTTCTTTTTAAAGGATTTCACCCCAAGCAAGGCGGAAGTGCCACTATCACGCAAGGGTTACAGAGAGTGGGGGTAAAAATAAAGAGGCGGGATAGAGGAAAGGATGAAGAGAAGGACAAGGAATAGATCAAGTCATCGGGAGATGTCGATTGACATTACATTTGAATAGTTGGAGGTTATAGCTATCAGGGAAACAAGCAATAGGAAGGGAATTCCACAGACGGGAGGTGCGAGACATGAAGCTATTGGAGTAGAAGAGACGGCCATATTTAACTATTTCGATATTGAAAGGGTGGGACCGAGATGCCAGCCTAGTAGCACGTTTAAATTCATCCAGTCTGGAAACTAGCGAAAGTAGATCGTCGGTACAGTTACTGTATTTGTAGAAAAGACAGAGGGAGGCAACGATACGTCTGTGAGAGAGCGAATGTAGACAAGATGCCAGATCAGGGTCAATCACATTGCATATCCGTCTCTGGATTTTGTCGAGGACCTTAAGGCGAACAGCGGGAGCACCAGACCATATATGGCAGCAGTATGCAAGGGCGAATGGTTGATTTATAGATTTGAAGGATGGACTAAGGCGCGAAAATCTTTCTGGAGCGACAATGGGAACCAACTTTCCTTGCGGTGAATGAAGCTACTGATTCAATGTATTTGTTCTATTTCAGGTTAGCGGACAGTATGAGACCAAGCAATCGCAAAGAGGTGCTCTAGTGGAGTTGAGCAACAGACACTCTAATGGGAGGCAGTTCCCTGTGGTGAGTGATAGAGAGCAGTTTTGTTTTTGAGGCATTAAAGTTAACCAGCCAATTCCTGTCCCAGTGTACAACCGATTGGAAGTCCTCTTCGGTTCCGGCGCATTTTATGTGTGCACAGCCTGCCTACACGCTATGGAAGTTGCGCAAGTCCAGGTTTTGCGTAAAATTAATTGATGTTACGAGCTTCGCTAATAAATAAATAATTAATTTCTGATTTCACAGAAAGACTCAGTTCGATCGAAAGCCTGGAATGAAACGATCACTTGACAGCATTTCTTCGGCACTAAACACAGATTAGCAAATATAAAGTCGAATATGTAATATAAATTTACATAACCTTCATAGAAAAAAAAGGATTGCACACACAAAATAACGTGATGAAACATCGATGAGACGTTTAAGGCTTTTACGTGACTTAATACAGTTGATTGATTACATAAATAAAGTGCTGAGTGAATCTGAAAGACATTTCTAATGCTTAAAAATTTGACTGATGCCACAGGCAACAAAAAGATGTGAGATTACCGAAAGTATTTCTAAGGTTTGTAAGCCACGGAGTACAGTTGACTGATTGCACAAACAATAAAGAACTGAATGATTTTGAAATACATTTCAAAGGTTTGTATACGTCGTACAAGAGTTTACTCACAGTACAAGCAAAAATAACTCACATTTCGAAGGCTTGTAAAAAATGTACTACAAGAATAAAAAGCTGCGTAAACATCAAATATATTTCTAATGATTACTGGCATTATTTAGATTATTTGGACTGTTATCCTCATCTTCATTGCCATATTCACAACGTTTCGGCCTCTATATCTCTGAGATGAGGTATTATAATTACTTGTATTATTTACATTATTCGGACTGTTATCCTCATCTTCATTGCCATATTCACAACGTTTCGGCCTCTATATCTCTGAGATGAGGTATTATGATACTTGCATTGTTTACATTATTCGGATTGTTATCCTCATCTTCATTGCCATATCCACGACGTTTCGGCCTCTATATCTCTGAGATGAGGTATTATAATTACTTGCATTATTTACATTATTCGGACTGTTATCCTCATCTTCATTGCCATATTCACAACGTTTCGGCCGCTATATCTCTGAGATGAGGTATTATTATATTAGTTTTGATTTTTAACGCATTTAGATTATTAGAGTTACGTTCGGTCAATAATAATCTAAATGCGTTAAAAATCAAAACTACAATATTACCTACTAGAACTATCCGTAGTTTATTAAATAGCACCAGCAGACAAAATATTACATCCGATGCTTGCATCTACCAAATCTCATGCAACAACTGTGACTTAAAATATGTTGGTGAAACATGTAGGTCCGTAAAATCTCGTGTTTTCGAACATAAACGAGATATTCGCCTCGGAAATTTTAACAATGCTTTAGTTAATTTCTGATTTCACAGAAAGGCTCAGTTCGATCGAAAGCCTGGAATGAAACGACTAAAGCAGATCATAATTTCGATTTCGATTCCGTGAAGGTATTTAAATATTTTCATAATAAAAATCTCAGGAGGATTTATGAAGCAGGTATAATATCCATCTCACGCACGGTGAATACTAGACCTGGTTTCTTTAGTATTTCCCCTTTTTTAGCGAGATTAATGCTCGACAAGCATACACATAAAATTTTTAGATCCTAATAGAATTCTTTTCATTTTCTTTTTCTTTTTCATTCAAAATAATCAGAAATTTTTAGGAAAACGTTTCGAAAGCGTCACCCATGTGACGACAACGTGAACATGCTAAACGGAAAGCTGATCATTTTAAAAATTTTCAGTTATCTGTTTTGGATAAGACTTGTTTTTATGTCCATCGTCTTTGTCAAATTGAACTGAATTGTATTTTAATGAATATTGTCCTGAAGAAGGTTTATTAAAACGAAACGTCAGACGTCGACATTTCATTCATTTTAAATAACATAATTGCATGTAAGGATTTTTGTTTGTTTTTCCCAAATTTTTCTTCATTCTGTCGGATCTATATCCATTTGCTTATATATATATATATATATATATATATATATATATATATATATATATATATATATATATATATATATAAATAAAATAAAAAAAAAAAACTCAAGTTTATATTAATTTATAAATAATAATTACATTTATAAATATATTATTACGGGGAGAAGAAGAGGCTACATACCTATCCCAAAGGGTATTAGCACGTAAGTTAATATAGTGGATTCGACTGGAATTCGAACTCGGCTCTCCGATTTCTGCAATCTAAGCCGCTATCCATTACTCCACCGTGCCTACTCGCGCATATGATACATTAGTTAAAAATAGTCTGACCAGAAGCTACAAAAAAATTGATACCAATAATTTTATACCAGATAGATAAGATTAACTGTATCAGTAAATCAATTACTGATAAACTACAGATAAGTGATCGGGTCAGTAAACTACAAACAAAGGAAGCCTATGTCTTGTTAAAAGACCATAAGCCCGATTTAAGAACTAAGCCATCTACTAGACTAGAAATCGGCAGAACCAGTAAGACTTGGAAAGAACCAACCACTCCATAAAAAACACCCTTGGACTATTACAGTGGATTAATACAGCTGAGGTTATCAACTGATTTAATAACATCCAATATAAGGACAACTGTACTTTCATACAGTTCGATATTATCGATTATTATCCCTCTATATCGAAGAACCTATTTACTTTGGTCTTGGATTTCGCTCGGGAATACTCCAATATTTCTGAGCGTGAAGTGGATATTATCATGAAATGCCGAAATTCTGTTCTGATCTACAAGGATGAACAGTGGACCAAAAAGTCTTGCAACGATAATTTTGACATTTCAATGGGTTCTTTGGATTCTTCTAGAGCTTCTGACCTGGTTGGATTATTTCTTTTGTACAATTTAAGTGCCTTCGATTGTCTAGATTCTGATAGTGTAGGATTATATAGAGATGACAGCTTATTAGTTGTTAAAAACTCCACTAAAATTAAGGTAGACCGTATTCGGAAAATGATCCATAGGGAATTTAAGGATTTAGGTCATAGGACAATAGTTACAACTAATGTTAAACAAGTAGATTTTCTAGACGTCACCCTAGACCTTGCTAGGAACACTTTCCAACCATATGTGAAGGTTAATTCCAACCCAATATACGTGCATCCAAATTCCAACCATTCCCCTTTAGTTATCAAACACATACCTCTTCCATTGGATTTAAGATTAGCACTAACACTTCTAACAAAGATGTTTTAATAAACATCGTGATTTTTACAATTTTGCACTCAAAAATAGTGAATACAAAGATATCACTATTGAATATAAAAACCCTGTTAATTGCAACCATAATAAGAAAAGAAGATCTAGAAAGATCATCTGGTTTACTTCCCCTTTCAATATAATGGTTAAAACTGAATTAGGACGTATATTTCTAAACATCATCAAGAAACATTTCCCCAACCCTGAAACTAACCCACTTAGTAAAATATTTAATTCTAATACCCTTAAATTAAGCTATAGTTGTGCAGATAACCTAGAGAAAATAATTAAAAAAACATAACAACAGAGTCTTTAACAAGTATAGGGAAACAAAAAGCTTGATTACTCACCAGGTTGCAAGTAGCAATACTAAGTATAATGACATGAATGACAACTGTCATTGTAGGAAGCCTAATAATTGTCCACTAAAAAATAATTGTATGATTATTTCTGTAGTTTATCTTAGTACAATCTCAACACTAGAAAATTCAAATATGAAAAAACAATTT